CTGGATAAAGTGACTTTTCTTTAAATTTTCAGAGTTGTTAACCTAGTTCAAAGTTTTCATATGAATTAGCCAGATGTTCAACTGAAAATCAATCACAGTCAGTCCATCATTTGAAAAGCAAGATTTTGGAGCCACCTTGCACCAAAATGGCAACTGTTTTGGTGACTGAAACATAGGTTTAAGGAGCCATTTGGCACCTGGCTTATATATCTGCGCTTCTAACACTGGTCAAGAGGAAGCAGTGGGTACCTGGCATTTTCTCTGACTCACTGTGGCCTTAGTGAGGCAGGGTCAGTTGTGCGCCTTGTGCTTGGGGCAGAAGTGATGCACATGTCCTGATTGGCACTGCATGACACAGTGGAGAGCAGCGTAGTACCTTAGGCTCAGTTGACTGTAAAATGGGGTGAAGCACCAAATACAGAGACATCTCTCCCCCACCCCCATTTGCTCAGTGGTGGTATGACTGCATGGTGGTATGAGAAACTGCAGCCACACTGATGTTTCTCCTGCAATCCCCTCAGCAGGGGCCACGGGACTAAAAGGCATAGCGATCGACCTCTACCTAAATGACCTCTTGGTCATGACAGCAATGGCTGTTTGGCTCAGGAAGCATTTGTATATGATCAGACATGCAAAGAGCCCCCTCAGACCCACACAGCACATTCAGCCTTTTGATAATCACCAAGATGTGGCAAGATAGTTTCCATCAAGGAAGCAGGATACCCGATGCCTGGGACGCACTCAGAGAGCGCAAGGCTCTTCTCCAAGTTTCTAGGTGGAGCTGGCTCACATTCAGGACCCATGATCCCACTTCATGGATCCATTTATCACTACATTAGATTTTAACTTCAGAAATATTCTAACTAGGCCCTTTCAGTGATGGCTTTTTCCTTATCAGATCTTATTTCTATCTTATGTGAATATGCTCTACTTGTTGTAACGTGATGTAAACTATTCCTCTGTGCTGCTCATATAGTTATTTTGAGATCAGTTACCTAGTTTCTTCTTGGGAAAAGCAGACCCTTTGCGCACTTCTGAAGTGCTGATCACATGTTTTCTCAACTGATGCAAAATGGTTCCTTCAACTAATCCTTTTAGTGTAGGAATTCTTGTTTGTTGACAGCTGGGCACAACAAAAAGTCATTTTCTTAACTGCTGAATTGAGGCTAGTTCTTCAGTTGAATAACCTGGGAGTTATTCAGCCTGTTAGTACGTTAGCAATGGATATGAAAATATTAATATAAGTTTTAATCACTATTCTCTGTCTGTGCTGTTGATCTTTAGCAGAGATGCCCACAGGATTTCCTGGGCCCAGAACATTGTATGTGGATTGCCTCCCCTACCCCCACCCCACAACCTGTTGTCAAGAACTGATGTTTTTGCACATGCATTTACTATTAAAATCTGTTTTAAAATAAATTACAGTTATAGGAATAGGGTAGATACTATTGCAAAGATGAAAGTGGGAGAGCAGGGAGGATAATACACATAACCTTGAGCTCTTGAGTGAGAAAGCAAGATAAATATATAATGTCACTCACAGCAGCACCACAGGACCCTTCCCCCCTGCCCCTGGCAACAGACTAACATGGCTACCCCTCTGGAAATGGATACTTAACAGGCAGTTAAAATATTCATGAAGGATATTAATTAGTGGCAGTCAACCATCTGTCTAGAGACTTATTCATTGGCAGCACCAGGACTATACATGCAGTCAACAAAAATATACTTGCTGTGTAGTCAGACTGGATTACATGTTGCAGCATAGAATGCAGCTTCTGTTTGCCCAGGCATTTTCAGCCAATATCCTTGAACCTATTCTGTGACCCTGAAGATAGAATTCTGACTAGGGTTGAGCTGGGCATTTGACTTGAGCAAACATTGGTCAAATAATGGTCCAGTATTTTATATTTTTATTATAAAAATATTCCAGTAGTCAGTGGTTGGATATGCATGTTGAGTGCAAAACCAAATTGTTTTACAATAATGATTAATGAGTGGAAGTACTACTTAAAAATTGTTGCAGGTAAGGTTTTTTATAAATATAAACAAGTCACTGAATAGTAGTTTGGCTTTATTCCTGGAAAGTTAGGGTCAGCCTACAGTTAATACACTTTTAAAAAGAGAGAGAGGGAGAGAAAAAATAAAAAATAAACCAAGTAACTTGTACATCCAGAAGTCAATGTTAAGTAGGCAGCAGGCCAATTGTTCATTTCCTTTGCGTCACCTTCAACCGGTTTTTCACCTCCATCATCAAATTTCTCATCTTGTATATCTCTCACGGTTAGCGAATGGCATAGTAAAAAAAAAATCCAATTTTTTAAAGAAGTAAGCTTCTATCTACACAGTGGCATTCTGAACTTGATCTAGCACTTGCGGTATCCTTCAACAGGTGACTAAGCAATCAACTGGCAATATTTGTCTGATCAATTGGCTAGTGTACCCATCCTAGACTGGGGAAAAGGTAAATGAAGCTATGACCTGTCTAGAAGAAAAAGTTCACATACCAGCTGAATATTCACAGGGTCTAAAGCTATATGTACCTTACTTCATCTTCATTTTTAATGTTGATTTTTCAGGTTTTGCAGAAAACGATCTTGCCTTGCTGAGGGTGTGACTGGGGGCCCTGTTGTCTTAAATGATTTTCAGCAGGGCTCTTTCTGCCACTAAACAATTTTTTCTACTGTACTTCTCTTCCCCTGCATACAAGACACTACTGTGAAGCAGTTTGGCAGTTGACTTGGAACAGAATCCCTCTATGTTGGCTGGGTGGAATAAAACACACAAGCTGTTCTCTTTTTCTGTTCTTCATAATTTTTGTACCAAATACCTTTTGGAAAATGTTATGCTTAGGTCAAGAATGTAGTGCAGCATGAGTGAAACCCCCTTTTAAAGGCACTGAACATAAAGTTGCTTTTAATATGGACACCTTTACTGAACCTGTGACAGTAGCCCTGCTGGCTACTTGAAACGAGGACAGGAGATGGGGATGACAGATTTTCCTGTTTTCCCTCCTAGCTTTTCTCCCCATACCTACCTGCCCACCCACCTGCCGTGACTGAAATGAGAGGGAATTAACCATGCTATCTCCAGGGCTGGTATAGTTTGGGGACCTGTTGGGGGGAGCATACTGGAGTAATAATGGGCCTTAGGATCCCGAAGACCCATGGACTGCTGATAGTTCATCAACTGCAGTGGAGCTTTCTTTGTCTACATCAGGGAACTCCAGAGTTCTGCAGGCTACTATGGCTGCTCAGCCACTCCCTGGGAGCATAGGGTTGCTTCTTAAATTTAAATATTGAAAACACTTTTATCCCATTCTTCAGCTAAAAATACTTCCAGAGCAGCTTTATCAGTTCTAATGGTAAGACTGACCTTGCCCTTAAACTTAGTCTTAAAGGGCTAAGTAAAAGGGATTAGGAGGGAGAGAGAAAGGGAAAAGCACATTGGGCACTATTTATTAGTCAAATCAGGCATGGGGAACCTTTGATGCCACTAGGTGCTGCCCTAGCAAACATGCCCAGTGGCCGAGGATTATGAGAGTTATAGTTAAGCAATATTCAGAAAGCCCAAGGTTTCCCACACCTGAGTTAAGTGGTCAACAAATAATAGTAGTAAAATATGAGAACTTCAAGCTTTCTAAAAGGAGCTGTGCTTAAAGGTGTAAGGCTCCAGTCATAAATACCCTTTAAGATGGAAATAAGAGACCACTGGATTTTTAAAATTCTTTTTGGCATCTTTGAGGAGTATACATAGTACAATGAGACAGTGATATACAAAGGTGAGCTGTTCGTGTTGGACAAGTAAACACTGGAATTCATAGGCACCTACTTGTGTGTCACAAATGGAGATAAGGTCTAGGCAGGTTTTCAGTGATATCTTATTCTACAGTTTTCTGATTATTATAAGGCAGACCACTTGGGTTATTATGGGTAAAAAAAAGGTAAAGGACCCCTGACAGTCAGGTCCGGTCGCGAATGACTCTTGTGTTACGGCGCTCATCTCGCTTTATTGGCTGAGGGGGAGCCGGTGTTCGTCCGCAGACAGTTTTCCGGGTCATGTGGCCAGCATGACTAAGACGCTTCTGGCGAAACCAGAGCAGCGCACGGAAACGCCACTTACCTTCCCTCTGTGCTTTTGAACTGCTAGGTTGGCAGGAGCTGGGACCAAGCAACGGGAGCTCACCCCGTCACAGGGATTCAAACCGCCGACCTTCCAATTGGCAAGCCCTAGGCTCAGTGCTTTAGACTACAGAGCCACCCGCGTATGTAGTACTTACTTTAAAAAGCCACCTGTATATATGTAATACAAGTAGAAAACCAAATCACCAACTTACAATTTACCCTAGTGTTTATACAAAGAACACAAAAGACATCCTCACCCCATGCAGTGATATTGCATATTCAACAATATATGAAAGAAAAAGTGCAGATATACATTATCTTGAACATTATATTTCTAATAATCAAGGAAATCATTTCCCCCAAATTATATGTTCCTCCTTTCATCTTTCCATCTTTCTTTAGTAAGTTGAGACATACCAGACCATTGATCATATCTTCCTGACCTTGCACAATAGCCATCATTTTTCATTTAAACCTTGGGCTGATAACTTCATCTCATAGTACTGCATTGATATGGGATGTATGTGGAATAGATACTTGCGGAACTTCTTCCTGCCATGTTGCAAATTAAAGGCTTTTGATTCTTGGTGAGAAACTGCATTGCTTCTTCTGTTCCTGCTGCCTAAAATGTCATCTGGGCTGGGAATGTGGGAAGAAGGTAAACTTGGATCCTGGAATGAGTGACCATTGCCCCATATTCAGTCCTCTTTGTGATACCCTCAGTCTTAGCTGCCCACTCATGTGCAAAAATATTTTTTTCAAGTCAGAGTTTGGAATGTCTCATTCTGTACTGACATAGAACTATAGAATCCTTTTGAAGCTCCATAGGTCACTTCATAATATAATTGCTAATAAATTCTTTTTTGCCTTTTTTAGGGCAGCTGAGCTCTATTGCCTTTCCCCGGCGTGAAGAGGAGTATCTCCAGCTGACAGTAAGCTGTCACCCATGCCTTTTAATCTTTGGTCAGAACTGCAATGCCAAATGTCAGTTAGTCAACATGCTTTTGGGTGAGAGACTGCTACCGACCTCCAAAGTTAGCAGTGAGGAGAACTGTAAGAGGCGTCGAATTCGCTTCACACATGGAAGACAAACACGGATTAGTTTGGCTCTTCCAGGACAGTATGAATTGGTTCACAACTTGGCAGCTCATCAAGGCAGATGGGAAACGATACCAGAAGAGGACTTAGAAATCCACTGCGATAATGAAGATCTTGCACACCAGATTGCAGAGCTGGAGGTTACACTGAATCACACTTTATTACAGGTACTGACGAGATCCAGTGTGTATGTACTTGCCCTGCCCTGTATAAACTTAATGAGAAAGGGAGCGTTGGCATGAAGCATTTTAATGAATATTTTGCACCTACGTTTAGTTGAGTAAATTCTACATAAAAACTAGAGGAGTCCTAGAACTAGAACAGAGTTTGTCTGCATTCCTAAAGACTTCTGAGGGCGGATACCACATGTTCTGCCTCAACCCAGTGGTTCTTGTTTGAAGTCTGACTGCTGCTGTGGAAGATTGAGGGGCGGAGGGTGCAGTTTGCAGCAGTGAAGCTTTAACTCTTCCCCTGACTGCTGGTTTTGCCCATACTCATTTGCTTTTCCTGCAGCCCAGGTGCCGGACCTGTGATTGTATAAACTTGCTTAGATTTCTGCAAGGTATCTGAGGGTGTAGACAGACATAGTAATAAAGCACAGTGCTTACAGTGGCACCTTGGGCCGTGTGTTGAACCCAGCTTCCTCCTGGCTTTGAATCTGAAATGACAGTCATATGTACCTGTGAAATAAGTGCTGATGGTTTATGCTCCTCTGTCCTCCATCTAGGAGTGGGGGGGGGCTCTATTATGCAAAACCAGAGATTGTGGGAGGATTCTTGGTAGCATAGGGCCAACCCATACACAGGCAGATACCCTAAAGAAGGGGCAGACATGCCTAAATAGTTACCCTTGTCTTCACCCAAAATTTTTCTTGAATTGCTGTAATTAGCATTAAGGAGTCCTTCTAAAACGGGTCAGCAACCTAAGGTCCATGGGCTGGAAGTGGCCAGTGGAGGTTGTTTGAACGACCCACGAGCTGCCCCCGAACTGAGATGCCCGCTCGCGCACTGCGCTAAACCAGCGCAGCGCTGGGACTCGCTTCCACAGCACTGGAAATCGCATCTGTGCACATGATCCAGCCCACGGAGGTATCTTCGCGGGACTGATCCAGCAAGATAAACATTGCCAACCCCTGTTCTAAAACTAAATAGAATGGATACTATGTTCTTTTCTCTCCATCCCTTCACTTCAAAGTCGAAACACTTAACTAGTGCATTCTGTAGCTCAGGGCAAGTGTAGGGGAGGTAATGTTTGAAAGGGTTCCTTTTACTTGGGATTCTTGCCTCCCGTGTGAGTCATGTTCACGATACCACTACCCCTCGAGGGTTTGCCAGCCTGTCTGTTCCTGAGTATAACTTTGTTCTGAATGTTTGTGAATGTGTGCTCCGAGTGTTGAATTTGGTTTTGTGTACTTCAACTGAATATGTCTGTCTTGCTCTTTTTTTTTTTAATAGGTCAGCTAACACAGGGTAGCTCAAATATCTCTCATAAACTTTTCAAACCAGTGACAAAGATTTCTTTGTTAGGCTCCAGATATATCTAGGACAAATCAGATGAAAACAGCCACTCGGATTAATTTGTAAGGAGTGGCACAGGACTGTTTCCTCTGTTCTGTGTAGGAGAGCCACTGTGAAAAACTCCTTCTTACAAATGGAATTTTTAAACAGGGAAAGTTAACATTTACATCTTATATGTGAAAACTGCATATCTAATTACAGGGAGGGATCTTCCTATTTTGTAATTTGCAAGCTTCAATGAGTGGTAACAAGTAAATACTTCCACCATAGGGAGAGGCATGATATAAATTTTAAAAACGGACATAATCCACATTTTTAAAAAGTCAATTGAAAAAGGCATTGGGGCTTTTGCAAATCCATGATTGCTTTAAAAGCATGGAAATTGTGTGCCAGTAAATAAGTTGTACATTCTAACACATTGTGCTGCCTCCCACCTTAGGCTTCATAGCTCCCACAGCTTGCTTGGATCCTTTAGCACCAATCCTTCTTCTGCTGTAGTTTGAGGGCAGCACTGGTGCCATGTTCATGTTTAAAAGTTTGGATAAATGTTGAAATTAAGGAGTTTCTAGTGAAATGAATTGCTTTAAAACTAATGACAGTTTTGAAATAAACCCTATTGTCTTACTATGTGGAATAATGGCACCAGGCAAAATAAGTAGAAAGGCTATAGGAAATGGGTTCCATTTCTACTGTAGTATTTAATGGCTGCCAATAAGAAACACATCTGCACAGTAATCTAAATGCTAATTCACTTTGTTAGGAGCTCTAGAAAGGAAAGGCAGTCTAGATGGAATTATACACAGCCATCCCCTCTGTGTGACACAGGAAGTTAAAATCCATACCCGGTGGACTAACTGCAGGTTCCAAAATTAAATTTGCACACCATACAATTGCAGTAATTATGTCAGGCAGGCCAGACTAATCAAGAAGCAAGAATTAACCAGTTGGAATAAGATTTGAGCACTATCCCAGACTCCACTTTACGATATAAGTGGCACCTTTATGTAAGCCTTCAAATCTTAACGAACTGAAAAATGGACCTTTGTAAACAAACGCCTCATTCATCAGATGCAAAAAGATGGCTGACGGTTTGTCAGGCAAGTTCTCTTGCATTGATAAGAAGAGGGTTTGATAGTAAAAGATTCTGTTTGTTGTGTGGCGTACATAGCCTATCTTTCACAGTGTATTCTTTAATCAAATGTGATCTGATAGAAAGTGGACAGAAGATGGAAATATTATTTTTAACGGGGCTGGCACCTACAAAGTTATTCATAAATAGAAATACGGTAATACTAACGTTCCTTTATCCACTTGTGCAATTAGTTTTACACATTTTATTGACCACCATGAGCCAACATTTTGAGTCTGAATTAAGTCTATTGAAATTTAGTGTGGCCTTAGAATATACTGAAAAATGTTTTGGAGAGTGACGGTTAAGTTTTATATAAAAGATAAAATAATTTAAACCTGAACATAAGTTGAACCCAATCATAACAATGTTGTATCTCCTCTGAAAATATCAATATATTCTATGCATATTTATTGAGAACTGTGTTAGACCTTATTCATAGAGAGATTTGCAGTGTGCAGGAGGCATCTAGCTAGGTAAAGAAAATGAACAACTTAAATTTCAGTCTTGGTCTTCAGGATAATAATGCATGTTGTAAAATTAATAGAATTTATTGTCAAATTCTGTAATTTCAAATCTGGTTTGAAGAGCAACAACTATTATATGCCACCAGTACCAAACATATTAGAATTAAGAAAATAAAACAACACAACAGCAATCCCTTAAATTAATTATCGGACTCTTAAATCCATTATCAGTGAAATAACTTATAAAAGAGTTATTGTGTCAGGATTCTCTCACATCTGTAGGAATTCTGTGGCTCCAGCCCTTCCTTCATTTCAGTTAATACTGCTGCATGTGGGGCATCTAACTTTACCAATAGTATATAGTAAGTTCCATTTAGGGAGGGGAGCCCAAATAAGAAAGTTAGCAAAATAAATTAAAGGTTTAAAAGGTACTACAAGAGAATCCAGTACTTTCAAAGGAGGTGATTTTGCAGGACCAGTCCATAGTTAAAACATCCCAATTTATGTTGGACTGCTAGTCTGTTGACTTCATTTTTATCCTAATTTTTATATTGCCACGTTACAGTTTTGTATTTAACGATCATACTGCTATGATCTAAATGTATAGAGGCATCATTCTTTTTAATGCTATATTTAGTAGCACTGTCCCTATCAGTTTGGTAGAGGAATGGGACAGCCCACATTACTGTACAGTAGTGATTACTGAATGCCTCTGATGCCCCTGGTATGCAGACATACTAGTTTATAAATTGAGGGTTGAAACTAAAATTGCTGAAGGACTGAGGTATGTTCAGTGGCCTCTAGGAACCAGGAGATACTGAGAGTAATTGTGTGTAGTTGGAGTAGGAGGTAAGAAGAATTTAGGGAGAAGTGGATTGGCCTGCTCAAGCCCCTAACAACAACTTGTGTCCTGGAGGTGTAGATTCTGGAGGGGAATCAATAAAGCACTTGAGCAGTAGGGAAAAGTTTCATTAGGGTGAGAGAGACAAAGGGTGTCCTCTTTAATTTGTCTCTCGTCTCTCTGTTCCCCCACTCCAGGTTTTCTGGAATCCTGTTAGGAGATGAGGATACGAAACAGCTTTTTGTTGCACATCCCACTCATATTTCTGTATTTAAGAATTACCTGTATTTTTTGCTCTATAAGACTCACTTTTTCCCTCCTAAAAAGTAAGGGGAAATGAGTGTGCATCTTATGGAGCAAATGCAGGCTGCGCAACTATCCCAGAAGCCAGAACAGCAAGAGGGATTGCTGCTTTCACTGCTCAGCGATCCCTCTTGCTGTTCTGGATTCTGAGATTCAGAATATTTTTTTCTTGTTTTCCTCCTCCAAAAACTAGGTGCGTCTTGTGGTCTGGTGTGTCTTATAGAGTGAAAAATACGGTATTTCCCACTGATATAAGCACCTCTGTTATAAACTTAAGCTTTTGTTTCTCTTCAGATTAACTAGTTGGCATCCAAGTCTTTTCAAAACTTATGTCAGTTTCATAGTACAGTATCTGAATTTTCATTCTGCTTCTATCTTTTTATTCAGCAAGCTGCTCCCAGTTGTTTTAGAATGGGTTTTCCCTTATCAGTGTAAAAGAAAGTTACCTCCCTGTCTGCATCTAGTGTTGCACATACCTCATTTCAGCAGCTACTTCTGTTCTAACTATTAAGTTCAAGACCACCATCCTGTCTGGGAGCACAAAACGTTATCCACAACTGGGAATATTTTACATTCATAGGAAATGCTGCATTCTGTATCTCATTATTGTAACACATTTTTAAAAAACATTTGGTTTATTAGCCATTCCTGCCATAGGTGAATGTCTGCTCTTCTTTTAGAGCCACTCAAGTATTTTCTGAAGGGCTTCTTTTTCATTTTTACCATCTATCATATATAAACCGTCTTGAAATTATTTCCCTTAAAACCTTTTGATGAGTGTATGCCGGTCTAGCAGGATAAGCCCATAGTTTGAAGCAGTTTCTTTTTTAATACATCAGTGATTCAGATGTAGGTGTGCATCCCTGTCTAGGACCATTTGTTATGTGTGACTGTTGCGGGCAAATAATCT